AGCAGGAAGGGACCTCCAACCATCATCTGGTCCAACTGCAGGAGGTAATAAAGGCAGCAGTTTAATGTGAGTTTTCCAGTAAAGATTTCTGAGAGTGTGGATTCTGCAGAATTAGAGCTGCTTTCTGTTTCACTGTCAAGGAAGTAGGGTTTGAAAAAGAGAATACTTTACAATGACTTCAGGTTTATAACGTGTTTGTGCTTTGGAAACGACTGGCTGATGAGGAATGACAAATGTTACCAGCTGCTGACAGCCTTCAGCCTGTGCGGCGGTGCACATCTGAGCTGAACCAGGCATACCTGGGTAGTACGACTGGTCTGCTCTCAGCCATGCGATCGGGTCTCAGCCCACGTCATGATGCCAGTACCGCTGCAGGTATGCATCAGCAGTGCAGCCATGTTTCTTTTTTGTTACGGACAAGGCCTGTTGAAGCCTTAATGAAGGGCCATTTTTATATTATAGACAGAAATACTGAATTATTACCTAGACTGGACCTTAGAATCACTTATTTGCTTTTTCTTCATTGTCTGCAAGGGCAAACTGCTCCATAATCAGTGCTGAAATGCACTTCTGTCCTTCGTGCATGCATCCATGCTGGACCTTGTTCTCCACAACAGGGAGGGGCTGGTGGGGGATGTGAAGCTCAAGGGCAGCCTTGGCTGCAGCGGCCATGAAATGGTGGAGTTTGAGATACTTAAGGAGGCGAGGAGGGTGTGCAGCAAGCTCGCTACCCTGGGCTTCAGGAGAGCAGACTTTAGCCTCTTCAGGGAACTGATTGGCAGAGTTCCATGGGATGAAGCCCTGGAGGGAAGAGAGGCCCAAGAAAGCTGGCGAGTAATCAAGGACCTTCTCCAAGGTCAGGAGCGATGCATCCCAGCAAAGAGGAAGTCAGATAAAAATGCCAGGCAGCCTGTGTGGATGAATAAGCAGCCTCTGGAGAAACTGAGGCACAAAAAAGCAGCCTACAGTGGGTGGAAGCAGGGACAGGTAGCCTGGGAAGATTACAGGGAAGTTGTCTAAGAGGTCAGAGATCAGGTTAGGAAAGCCAAAGCCCTGACAGAACTGAACGTGGCCAGGGACATCAAGGCCAATAAGAAGGGCTTCTATAGGTACATAGGGGATAAAAAGAAGGTCAGGGAGAATGTGGGCCCTCTGCGGAAGGAAACGGGAGAGCTGGTGTCCCAGGATATGTGGAAAAAGCCAAGGTCGTCAATGATTTTTTTTTTCTTCTTTTTTTGCTT